ATGCGCACAATGAATATATAACTTAAGAATAAACAGTATGAAGTAAAACATATTAATTTAATTTAAATTATTGAATGATGTAATTCTTATTATATATACTAGTAGAAAACGAGACATTTCATATCTTTATATATATATATATATATTTTTTAAAAATTGAATTTATTTTATTAAATTTAAAATTAATAATATATAATATAAAAATACAAATCAAAAGGGTGAATATCAAAATTAATTCTTTTTTTAATACGTATAGATATATATTTATTTTATTTTATTTTTGTTTTTCTTTTCTTTATTGTCTGTTTACTTCAGTCACCCTAATTAATATCGAGGTGGAAGTTTAGCAGCACCCTTTCAACTTTACGTTTCAAAGACACGAGTAACACATTCGTAACTTTTTGAAGTTGTTTTCTGAGGAAGTGGAGATTGGACAGTTGAGAAAGTCCCAAAAGTTGATGGATGACAAATAATGGATTAAATTCATTTAACGTCCTTGCATCACTAATATGCGATTGTTTTTCACGTCAAAAGAAATTACTCATTTCCTTGGATAAAACGTGTCGTATTTTTTTTTTAAAAAGTGTTATATTAATTTTTTAATATAATATATTCATTATTATTTTTATTTAAAAAATATTAATCAATGTCTTTTCACACTAATTAAAGAAATCAAAAGTAAAAAGTTTACATTAGAAAGTGTATCTATATATTCTTTTTTATAACTTTATCTTAATTTGTAATTATTTTTTATTTATTTATTTTTTTACATTTTCATTCTTTAACGAGTGTCCTTATTGTACTAGTTAAAAAGTTAAAAATAAAAAGTTTGCATTGAAAAGTGCATATACACATTTTCTAGATTTATACCTGCGTTGTTAAGGCTACACGACATTGATTAACTTTTATTTATATTCTTTTTAAATTTTAAAATAATATTATTTTTTCTTATCATTTCTTATAAAGAAAATTTGTTATAATTATTTATTTATTTAGTTGATATAAAATAGCCTGACGGGTTAAAGTACTGGGTCAGTGGGTCAAATGTTGAACCGGTGAGTCATTAGTTGAACCGCATGACTCGGTTTTTATTTATTTTTATTAAAAAAATATTCATATTAAATATCTTTTATACTTATAAATTTTAATAAATTTATATCTTATTTTAAATTTCAATTTTTCTATCTCATTTAAAATTATTTTTATTTTTATTTTGTAAAAAAATATATAAAAAATTACATGTTAAACAGTATATTAATATAAATTAAAAATATAAATAATATG